AATATCGTGGTGTTGATAGTCGCAAATTATGGAAATTTTACTCTATGAGTTTTTATGCAAATGTCTTCAATTTTGCTCGCACTGGTAGGGATTTACATACAACAAAGCCCTTTATTGCGTTAATGTGTAATGAAGTATGTGTATGTGTAATGCTTAGCTGATATACAAAACTTCAACACAGTTGTATGTATGTACATATATATACATATATGAAGTTTACAAGAAGAGCGTTTAAGTAGACACAGACATTAATGTTATGCTTACATAATTATGTAAAATTGTAGGAAAAAGATATTTATCTTATCTAAATCGATCCTCTTCTCTGTGTTACCAAGGCACTTTTGAAACCACTGCACTGATTAGAAAAATGTTTGACTTATAAAAATGAGTATCCGTAGATGCATCATTGCCTGCAGAGGGGCGATCGCTATCAGAAAAAAAACTTAATTTTCTTTTGTTTTTGATGTTTTTTAGATACCTGCAGTGACTCAAACAAATGAATACGTGTTGATTTTCTTCAAATATTTGAAATGTTTTTCGAGATAATTTATTTTTTTTTTTTATATAAAAATAAGGTATAAGCTTTAACAAAAACTGTTGAAATCACAGTTTCAAACTTTATACAAAATTTAGGAAAATTCAAGAAATTTTCATCAAAACTTCAAGTTTTTAATCTGAATTTTTAGAAAACTTTGGGGTATGAAGTTTTAAAGTTCATATAATTTTAGTCTAATGAAGTGCAAGTTTCTAACGGCTAGAAAACCGCATTGCTGTTTGAGATTTTTTTTTTTTTTTTGGTAACGTATTGTTGCACTTTTTTCACATAAGTATGAATTTCTTATGAAATAAAACGCGGGAGATCGTCAGCAACAAAATTTCAAAATATCAACGCAATTACGCTTGTTATATTTAAAAAAAAAAAAAAAAAAAAAAAAAAAANCGAAAAAGTAGCATAAAAAAAAAAGAAATTCTCAAAATCCAACGCGATTTTTTAGCCGTTTTAGGCACAATAGACCTAAGGTCGCAGTGCACAGCCTCTAACATTCTATCTATCTAGCCGTTTGAAACTTGCACTTCATTGGACTAAAATTGTATGGGCTATAAAGCTGCATACCCGAAAATTCTCAAAATTCAGAATAAAAAGTTGAAATTTTGATGAAAATTTGTTGAATTTTCCAAATTTTTTTTATAAATATTGAAACTGTAATTTAGATGGTTTTGATTAAAACTTATATGAATATAACAAAAAAAATTTACCTGGAAAATTCCAGCTATTTTTGCTCGTCTCCACGCCAAATAAAGTTTTTTTCTTTATCTTTTTCTGGAATTCCTGGCACAGCTGGTTACCAACCTAACTGAGCATCATTAGAAGCGATGAAAGACGGGCCTAGGCGCAAAAGTGAAATGGGACGTAAGAGGTGGAGGCCAAAAATTAAAGAAATTTATTTTTTTTTTCCTAGTAAACCAACTCCCCTGGGAAATTCTTATATGTCATTGGTTTTTACCGTTGACAAGCAATGGGACATATATGTCCCTTAAGATTGAGGGATCTCAGGTGTGCTTTAAGTGTGCTAACTTATTTTGATTTCTTTTGTTAAAAAGAGGCAGGCTGGCCGGAAACTTCTCCGGAAGTTCTGGATATGTAACTCCACCTAGTACAGAAATATTGCAGCAAGGAAATAGAAGAAAAAAAGTTAAGTTTTTTCGAATTCGGGGTGGCATGGCAAGCAAAGGGAGGAATCTATCCTTAAAAATAAGGTAATTATCTACTAAACAAGACCTTTTTGAAAAAAATCGGTTCAACAGTTTTTCCAGGAAGAATTTATATGCAACAGGACACCGATGTCCCTTTGGTCGTCAAAGGGTTAAGGCAATTAGCAGGACTTCATAGAGCAAGGTCAAAATAAAAGCACTCAGTAACAGAAGCTCTCCTTCGAAAAGCTGCAACTGCATGCATCCATTTTACCCTCTCGGCAGCAGCTCTAAGCCACGTATGAGCAGTTAATACATTATTTGCTGTGATTTATTATTAAGTTTTGAGCTTTATATTTTAAGTATTTATATTTCCGTTGCTTACCTTATAAAATAATCCTGTATAAATTCTTGATTCTCATCCATCCACGCTTCCATGCGCGCTTGTTCGGCATCGTAGCCCTTCTGTGTTGTATGTTGCATGGTATGCATATTTTGTTGTTGCTGTTGCTGATGATGCTGATGCTGAAGCTGAAGCTGATGCTGATATTGATGTGGCGTAGTTTGCAGCTGCAGGGGGACACCGGTACGTGGACTTAACGCATTAGCGCTATCAAATGTTACGCACCCTGTGCCCCCCTGCTCCGCCGCAGGCATTCTGCCGGTAAGGTTCTGATGCTGATGGTAGGTGTGTGTTTGTATTGTTTGACACTGTGCGCTTGGCTCTTCAATGCTTCGCAGCTGCAGGCCTGTAAAGAAAGAGAAAAGGTGGAGGCAAAATATTAATTAATTGTTGTTGAAGTTATAAATAGCTTAAGCTAAAGAAACAAATGCTAATAGTCTAAGATACGACAAAGGCACGACCTTCACCCATCTGTTTTAATGGATGGCAACTTTTTTCTATGCAATTTAATGTGTTAATAAATATTTTGCGAGTGGGTTGGCTGAACAAAATCTTGGCCAGGATATTTTTAATTAAATATTCAAAAATTATTATTATTATTTTTTTTAATTTTGTAGTCATTTATTTAATGTAATTATAGAATGTGAAAACCTATCGGTTTGACAGGTATGAACAGATAGGTAATATTAGTAATTTTCACTCATCTATTTAACAGATTCTATAAGCTTTATGCTTTCGACTGATATATATGTAATTATTTACTGAACAAATGAGTGCAAAATTAAAAAAAAAATATTATTATTTTTGAATATTTAATTAAAAATATCCTGGCGAGGATTTTATCAGCTGGGTGAAGGTCGTGCCTTTTTCGGATCTCCTACTATAAACTTAGCAAATATATTTTCGTATCTATAATGTAAATTCGCTATTAAGGTATCATTTTAATTCGTGAAACGTGTCAAAGATTAATTTGGCTTAAATATCTATAGACGATTACTTTGGCTGCCTTTGCTTTAGCTTAAGAAATCTTTGTTTATACATAATCATTAGGGCGGGTCAATTTTTTTTTTTTTTTTTGACAAGGCATTGGAACACTCTGTGTAATTCTAAGCAAATTTGCCGAAGAAACCATGGGCATAAAATTAATTTAAAGTTTGCCAAATTGCAAAACTAGGTTTCGAAGAAAATTTGAAAATTTTTACTGTTGCGCCCTCTTGTGAACGCTTTAAGAGAAACATAAGTCCACAAAAGGATTCCTCGTACCAAAAAAAAGCTTATTATAGCATATTTTTTATGCAGAATTAAACATATCTTTACGACACTACAGCAAAATGCTAAAAAATATATTTTCGCAATTTGGCAAACTCCAAACTGATTTTAGACCCATGGTTTCTTCGGCAAATTTGCTTGGAATTACACGTAGAGTCCGCCTGTGCTATACTTGCATACTTAGTCGAAAAAAATCTCCCATACAAATTGCTCCGTCCTAATAATCATACATAATTTCCGCACACACAAGTTATGGAGTTTGGCATGGGAGCGAAACACATTTATGTATGCGCTCTTGTTGCTGACCAAGCAATAAGCGTAAATACAGCTAATTGTAAATATAAAGCAAACCTGCATACAAAAAAGTCGACGAAAATAAATATAAACAATTTAAGGGGTACAAAGTTTTAGATTAATTCTTTAGTATACAGAAATTCTATTACCGTATTGTATATTGTTTGAATAAGCAATTAAAATTTTTTAGTAAACAGACGAAATAACTAATGTTACACTTGATCCCTTAACCGAACATTACACTCTTTAAACAATAAACAGTTAAACAGTTTTGTGTCTCAAAGTTTATTTTCGTCTCGTGGGACTGAAAAAATACTAAGAAATGAAATCAAAATATAAATACTGCAGAAATGTGAGTAAGCTCTTACTAAAAGGCAAACTTGTGATCGATTTCCACTGGGTAAAAAATGAAAAAAAAATAAAAATAAAAATAATATTAGAGCACCAGAAGCCAAATCAACAATTTTTAGATTTTTTCTCTGTCTGTCTGTATGTTTGTACGCGCATCACTCGAAAACTAATGCATGCAATTGAGATCAGTTTTCATCAATGCATTGGCAGAGGTCTAACTTAAAATATAGAAAGGAAAAAAATTAGAGAGTTGCCACCTGTTTGTAAATTGAAGTTTAAGTAAATTGATAAGACAAAGTAAATAAGAGCAATATGGCCGTTAAAAGAAAGACGTTTAAGAAGGCTTACAGCCCAAAAGATTTTTGTGGAAGGTTGCTACCTATTTGAAAATTTTATTTTAATTTAATTGGTAATATATAAATTGAAAATTAGCAATATGGGTATGAAATTGAAGAGGTTAAGGAACTTTTTCTGCCACCTGGAGAGGGTTGCCACCAGTTTTAAAATTTTTATTTAATTTAATTGATAAAATGAACGTAATATTACAATACGCGTATCAAACAACACAAACACAGTCATCATAAATAAAATAAATGTGCGCTATCGTCGAAGTCTGTGTATATATGCAAAGAATCCTGAGCTAGACTAATGATGGTGTACTTTGCAGGTCCTTGCTTGGTAATTTTTAATGAAAATTGGTAATTTTTTCTTTCTTTATCAAATTTAATAATTTGGTAATTTGTTTTTCAATTTGGTATTTTTTCTAGATTCAGTCCAGCATATCACATAGGTCAATACAGATCCCGATTTCACATTAGAATGTGTTCCGTAAGAGTATTCATAGGTGTGATCTCTAAGAAACCGTTTGAAAGTGGCTATTGCTTTATCTACCGTGTCCTTTCCCGGAAAGTTCTGAGTGGTCATAGCTTTCCCTCTCAATTCTATGTATGTTCTCATTCAAAAAGTTACGGAATTCGGTAAGGGACTTCACTTTGTCTGTCTGTCTAAAGATTTCAGCAATGTCTTCAAGCGTTGTATGTGTATACGTATGTGTATTGGAATTAACTGAACAAATGTTGATTTTAAAGTGCTCCAAGCTTAGAGGTATATTCCCATTAGCAGCTTCATAAAAAAGTCCTATGGTGCCAAGTAGGATGATCTCGGTGATCAAATGACATCCCATCTACGAAAAGTTATGCGCCTGATAATCCTCTGTTGACACTGTCAATGATCAGATGAATTCAATTGTTTTGTGGCATGAGCCTTACATGGCTGGAGATGTATATTCATGGATGTATATGCAAGATATCCTATTATGAGCCATTAAACAATCGAAAAATTTACTTAGGTTTGAAATTTTAAGAAAGACTTCCCGGTGTTAGGTTTTCAGCGATAACGCAGATATAAAAATTAAAAAAAAATAATAAATTAATAAAAATTAAATAGTTCAAAATTTAGATGAAAATTTGTTGAATTTTTTCTATGTCCTGCATATAGTTAGATAGCTTCACTTATGTAGTTTTTCGATTAAAGCACGAACCAAGCTTTTATAAAAAAAATTACAAAAAAATTTTAGCTTGAAAAACATTACAAATATTAAACAAAAAACACCATACACTCACTTTTGATTGCCAGTGTACATACATATGTGCTCGTATTTAGGTACAGTTCTGCACAAAAAATAAGTTTGGTCATTTTTTGTTAAACTTCGTAATTTTTCCTGGTCATTTTAGTAAAAAAAATGTTGTGAAAACACTACTGGCAACGCCAGAAAAACAGCGCTGGTCTTGTTTGTACAGGAAAGAAAATTGTAAGGACATAACCTTCCCATGTTTAGATGCGCAATCCTTTCTTGTTTGCTATTACTCTTTTAATCATTCTATGAGTCATAATATTACGACTTCTCTAACTTTTACTCTGAGTTCGCCGCTATTCCTTATGCAAATAGAAAACTAACAGCTCTCAACGTGTGTTGCCAACTCTTGGCTCTATTAGCATAAAACGGTTACAAAATGACCTTTCGGCAACAAAAGGGTTAAATAAGGACGCTTTCAAATTACTGCAAATTTTAGCAATTCACAACACCAAATTTTACTAAAAGTAAAATGCAATTTTCTAATCTTCCTAATTCTTACATGAATTGCCTTAACTTTTCGCAGAACAAGCAAATTTTTTCTCTAGATAAGCACAAAATTTGCTGACCCTCAAAAACAATGGCACCAAAAAAAGGTAGCCATAACAGACTTGCAAGAATGAAAATCATGGATGCCTGCGAGAATGTATGAGCTTACACACTCTTGTATGTTGGTTTAAGATTAAATTTTGCAGCCATTAGAGTATCCCCAAAGACCTGCATACATTTTCCACACACACACACACATTCACTCTGTTGGGTAGAAAAATAGCAAACTCGACAAAAAAATTACTCATTTCNTTTATTTAAACTCCCCTCGTGCTGCGCTGCTACAGTTCACTCGGCAAAGTGCAATTTGAGTGCATAAAGGATTAAATTAAATTTGTATCAACGGAGTGAGACTGGCAGTGCAATTTGTTTGGGTGCGGCACAAATGGGATTGGCAACAGCATAAGCAGCAACGAAAAAAAAAAACGCTAACGCATGTGCCACACTGTGCAGCAGCCAAAAAAAAAAGCTCGTTAAAGTCATTTGCGTCATGCCGTCGACAAATTTAAATTATGT